TTGACAGAAACCATGCGTAATTATGTTTTGGATTTCAAACCAAAAAATGTTGGCGACTTTTCACGCGCTAGCATCTGTTGATGACAGATCGTGGCAGACAATATTTTCGTCATTTGTCTGAACATAACTTTTACTTGACCAAGGCGAATGGCCAAAAAGAAAGACGTGAAAAGTTAGTGTTCAGTGAAACTAGTGGAAGTGTTTATTGTTATGTATGCAAACTGTTTCCAAATAAAGCTAGTCAATTTTCAAAAAATGGGTGTCCAGATTGGAAAAATATTGCCGCGAAAATTTCTGAACATGAAAATTCGTATGGCCATGTTCAAGAAATGTGCACTTTGGCTAAACGCTTAAACGCAAACGGGCGTATTGACAAACAAATGGCGAAACAGTCAGATGATGAAAGGCAATACTGGAGAGAAGGATTGTAGCAACTGTACAGTTTCTTTTCTCTCAAGGTTTGGCTTTTCGTGGTCATGACAACAATGACGGCAACTTTACTAGTTGCTTGAATTATTTGTCAAAATTTGGCCCTTTCTTAGCAAATCATATTGCGCGGTACGGTAACAAGGGAAGTGGTTCTGTTAGTTATTTGTCACATGCTACTTGTGACGAATTTATTGAAATAATGGACAATGCTGTCAGAGATCAGTTTATTTCAGAAGTAAAGAAATCGATATATTTTTCTTTGATTGTTGATTCAACACCTGATGTTAGCCATGTGGACCAGTTAACTGTGATACTCAGATATGTTTTCATTGATGGTGAAATTAAAGAACGATTTTTAACTTTTGTTGACATCTATGCTCATAACGCTCAAAATCTGGAGCAAGTGATACTAGACGTTTTGAAGAAATGGGGGTTAGATATCACAAAATGCAGGGGACAGAGTTACGACAATGCTTCTAACATGTCTGGCAGATACTCTGGCTTGCAGGCGCGAATTAAGGCACACAGTCCCAATGCAGTTTACATTCCCTGCTCTAGCCATAGCTTAAATCTAGTTGGTAATTTGGCTGCAGAATCGTCGCTTTCAGCAGTATCATACTTTGACTTTATTCAAAACGTTTATGTGTGGTTCTCATCATCCACACACAGGTGGAACATACTTAAAAGTCATCTAGTCAAAAGTGGATACACCATAAAGAAAGTATCGGACACAAGGTGGTCAGCTAGAGCGGATGCAGTGTTTGCATTGCATCAGAACTACATTGGTATTCAGGAAGCTCTTCTTCAAGCAGCCGAAGATCGTGATCAGAAGGCGTCTGTAAGAAATGAGGCTAATGCTCTTGCTAATAAAATGGATCTTTTTGAGACTGCATTGATGACTGTTCTTTGGGATACAATTTTACAGCGGATGAATGCAACCAGCAAATCTCTGCAAAATTCAAATTTATATCTTGATTCTGGTTTAAATCTTCTAGAATCACTGAAGCTTTTTATTAACAATGAAGTCCGAAACGATTTCACTCGTATTGAAAAACGAGCAGCATTGCTTATTAACGAGAATCTGAAAGACTGTAAATATCAAGATGAAGTGAGCCGCAAGAAAAAGCGAAAACCGTTTTCTGACGATAGCAATGAAGCGGAAGTTATTTTAACTGGTCGTGATAATTTTATTGTTAACACAGTAAACGCCATTTCTGATAAATTGATCACGGAACTTGATCACAGAATCGAAGCATACAAAGGTATACATGATTTGTTCAGTCTATTTTTCAAGGACAAGGTGGATGACATGAACACAAAGATCTCGGCCTTGATCGAAGAATACAAAGACGATGTTAATTCTGATACCGCTGGCGATGAAATCAAATAGTTTTTGCATTTCGCTAAGGAAGAAAGCGCAAAATCTGCGGTAGAGATGTACCAGCTTATAGTGGTGGGTGGACTACAATGTACATTTCCCAATGTGGAAACCCTTCTAAGAATCTTTCTCAACATTCCTATATCAAACGCAACTGGAGAACGGTCATTTTCCGTGTTGAAAAGGATCAAGAATTACTTGCGGAATTCCATCAGCCAATGTAAGCTGGGAGATTTGTCTATTTTATGCGTTGAATCAAAGGAGACATTAGAATACGATTTCAATGCGCACGTTGACTCCTTCGCGAAATTGAAGAGCAGGAAAAAAGTTATATAACTGTAATAAACTGACAATTGTAATTTCTAACTAGTATCTATAGCTGTAGTATCTATGCATATTAAATAATACATGGGTATGAGTGTTCTAACTATTGTTGTATTATGATCATTGATCGCCTTATAGGCGAGAGGGCCCCAAATTGGTCTGCGCCTAGGGCCACAGTTTTTGTAAATACGCCTCTGTTCGTATATACATAAATATACATACGTAATTTTATAATTTTTTAATAATATTAAAACTATAATAATTACTAATAAATAAATTTTTACTTATAGTTTTAAGCATGGGTATATTGTATATATATATCTATGGTTTTTAGCTTAGTTTTACAGTATTAAGCGTAGTCTACACATATATAGATACATATGTGTATAATTTATGCGTATCATATTGTTTGATTTATAAGTAATGTATATTATAACATACACACGCACGATCATGTAAAGTATCTTAATGAATAGGCGATGTGTTTGTAGCACTGTCCCTTCTAATTTGGTTCGAGCTCGGTTCAAAAGTTGGAACAATGTCTCGAGGACACTACGGGTTAAGTAAGTTTGATTTTATTAAATTGGCCCTCCCGTTCTAAATGATTAGAGGATTTAGTTTCAGCGAAATTTGAAAAAAAGTTGGTTAATTATCCATTAACCGTTAATGGCATCTCAACGAAAAACTAGCAAAAAAATTAATAAATAACGTTTAAACTTTTTAAAATATATCAAATTTTAGCTTAAATTGGTTTTTCTGTTTTGGGCAATCCTTGAGTTTCAGACCTACAATGTTAAAATTTGTTTACATTTACGATTATTTACATCACTATCTCTAATAGAGAGTTACAAAAGAGCCTCCTACTAATATGCAGAAAGTTGATTGAGATTAATTTAGTAATATATTAAATAAATTTTTGGAGGGATTCAACGTGGTACAAAGCTTTGTTTTGTGGAAGAAGTCGTGGCCCGGGATTAACGGACGTTGTTGCCGTTAATACAAAAGTGGATTGCTCCTGGCACAACCATCGTGTCAGATGAGTGGCGTGCCTATAGCCAGCTGGGAAATATGGGCTACACTCATTTGACAGTCAACCATTCCCAAAATTTTGTTGACTCAGTGACAGGAGCACACATCCAAAACGTTGAATCTATATGGGCACGATTGAAAGCCAAATTCAAAGTAATGTACGGTACATCGAGGTCCCTCAGGCACACTTAGTTGGCAGAATTTCTGTGGCGCGAACGGTACGGCCACTTACCGTCCGGTAATATTATTAGGCACGTACGCCAAAAACACAATATTTGTTAAATAATTTGAATTATTATTATTTAATTATTATTATTAATTTTATATTGATTATATGTTGCCCAGTGTTTTAAATAATTTAAACAGTTTTATTTACTAAATTTTGCAATTTTTGTTTTACTTTGTATAATAATAAAAATGTCTTCGTTTTTTTTCCTGTTTTATATGCTATCCAAGAAATTTTTGTTGTTACATGTTGCTTAGTGTTTTAAACAATTTAAAAGGTTTAATTTACTAAATTATACGCACAAATTATAATAAAAATATATAAACAAGTTATAATTAAATAAAAATAAATCTATCTATACATGCATCTATTTTAATCTCAATCCACTTTTCGAATTTCAGTAGGAGGAGCTTATTTTACTCTATAAGATAGAGATAGTGAATGTAAACAAACAACGTAGGTCTGAAACTCGAGTTTTGCCAAAAGTTAAATTATTTCCAGAATTTGCTACTCATTAGCAACCTAACTAGCCCAAAAACCGACGTAGTTGTAGCAACTTTGAGAAAGTAAAAAATGTGTTTACTACGGCATGCATTTGTAAACAAAAATCAACCAGGGTAAAAAACAAGGGTAATGTGCGTTGGGCAACAGATATGAATTTATTTTTTAAATGAGTGAATATTTGTACAAATATGCTGAAACATTTGATAACTCATTTTATTGTGCAAAAACATATTCAACAATGAAAGTGAAGTCAAATTAAATGTAAAAGTGAAAAATGCTTTTTTATACTACAAAACAAATTAAACTTTAGTGTTATGAAAGTGGATCTATGGTTATGAAACTATAATATATATTATATATATATATATATATTACTATATTCAATTTGTAGTATATAACTTTTTTCCCTTTAACCTCATTTAATTTTTGATAATAAGAATTGAAATAAAATTATAGAATGTGCAGAATAAAAAAATTTTTTGTTACGATGATTCAATAAATTTGTAAACTCAAAAAAGATCCCTTTACTTTTGATCCTCATTCTCATAATAATTCAATAATTATGTATTTTCATATTTCAATTTTATAACATAAATGATTTTCCTATTAATCTTTAAAATAAATAACAGTGTTAAATCAATAATGCAATATTAATAAAATTTAATGAATAGTTGACTAATGAATTTAATTGAATCAGGTAACATCATCAAATATTACAAACCATTCATTTTCATATTTAGCTGATTGTTTAACAAAAATACAAACACAATGAAATAAAAACGTCAATGAAAGTTTTAAAAAGTTTTGAAAGTCAATAAAAGTTACAAAGTTAAGCTCTACTGGAACATACTAAATCAATAGTAACAACAGATCATTAATTGAAAAAAAACCCACTGGACAACTATGAGCACATGTGTGGAATAATCTATGAAATTAAAAACTGGATTGAAATGGAATGCTGAAAATATAGAAATAAAAACGATTAATAAGAAATAATTACATTATAATTATAATAATAATTAATTTTAACAGATGCTAAAACGAAGATCTCCTGTTATCATGTCTGTGATCACACTTTCGATCCCTATATCGTAATTTTCAGCATCCTCTTCATTCATACACCTGACAATAAAAGCATCTTTTACCCCGTTCCTTTATATGTCCAAAGTACGTACATGAATCATCTTCCAGATCCCATTTGTGACAACTCACCTGCCAAATCTTCATAACTTTGTGCTCTTTCTCAAGGCTGACGACAAATAATGGATGATCAACTGATTCATTATTGACCAACAACTCAAGAATAGCACGTTCCGTGTTCCTCCTTGCTTTGTTTTCATCTTTTTTTTTGTTGCTCTGCGTCTCTGTTAGATATTGTCGTCTGTTCTTTGTTCCATGTTTCCACAAATTTTTTCTCTCATTACACCTTTTCTTATTGCAAACTGTATCATCATGGCTTTCTGTACAACCTATTCTTTGCAATCCTGCCATTCCAAAGTATAGCTTTAGTTAGAGTCCAGAAAACCTGTGGTGATAATAGGTGCTTTATGAATAAAATAATGTCATACCAAGCATTCTTTCAGCATGCATGATATGGGTAGATGCTGAAAAAGAGTTCAGTATCATTTGAGAACTAAGATTTGAGAGAGTTTTGGTAAGATAACTGCTCATCTGTCTTTTAAGAACATGTAATGCCACCTGCGACATTAAAAAATGAGGTTACTGGTATATATTTTATATTGTGCAATGTGTGCTGATCACAAGACTACCTGAATAAGAGAAGAGAAAATGGAAATTAGAAGCTTGATATCATATCTCGAAAGCGATCTGTGATTGACAAACTTCTTCCTCTTCCAAGCTTCCTCCAAAAGTCCAAATACATCACATTTAACTAATAAAATATTTTGAAGATCCGACACCATTGAGGTGTTCCTCTCACGGTGCAACTATTAATTAAAATAAATCTTTCTGCCGATTATAAATAAAAAATAAAAAAAAATAAATGGGCTTTTAAATTTTTTTATTTTTTAAATGTTATTGAATTTAAAATTGAAAAACATGAATGAAAAACGTTTGACAAAAAAAGAATAATTCATACAACATAATATTTACGGATGAGCTCAAGAGCTCTTTGGAATCGCATGTCGCGGTCTATAGCATCGCGTTGCCCCATACATCAGGTGTCATGCATCCGTTTAAATTTGTCATTGGCACATTTCCAAAGATTTTTTATGCCATATGTGCGTATTCCAGTTGAAGCCACGAACCCATATTTGTGATTCACAGGGAGTTTTGTGCGGCAATCCTGTTGTCCGACTCAGGCTATTATAAGTGGCCCAGCGATATGACCACACAGTTGCTCCTGTTTGATAAGTTAGCAATAAAATAAATTTGTCACACAAAAAATTGAGAAAAAATTACCAGGCAACATATGGCATTGTACTATTGGCATGAGTGTTACTGTGTCCCTTTGTCTTTGTGGCACAGCCACAAGAAACGCTTTTTTTGTGTCTTCATCAATGCCTCCAAGCACCTTTGCGGAAAAGGCCTTGCGTGACCGTTTCTCTTTCGTTTGGCCACTTATTCTCACTGGTTTTTCTCTAACCCACTCTGTGCACAGCTCTCGATGGAAATTAAACCAGTCAGGCAAAGTTTTGCTGCTATCTATTTGCGGCAAACTTGCAACTGTTGCCTGACTGATGTCTCCCATACTCCAGTAGTATGTCAACCGAAACAAGCGAAAATAATTGAACAAAGCGTAAATATAATTTTTTTTGAAAATTAAATCATAATGGTACTTTAAAAAAATCTTATCATAATACACTGGTCTGATTTGAGACGGCTTTTCCATATAAGCTGCCATTTCTTTTTTTTTGTCTTGTCGCACCCAGTGGTGTTGGTGCAGCGCCAAATTTTACCATCGCAAGATTTTTTATGGTCTTGTAATTTCATTACACAACCACAAACACAACTCATGCGTGATGCTAGCAACCATTGCCCAATTTATTGCATCGTTAGTGTCTCGAATGCCATCCATTAATTGGAAAGACGAAACGCAATGCAAAATAGGGTAATTTATTTTTTTGTTTAGACGCGAAGTGAGAAGACGCGGTTCGTTTTAAAAGTGAAATTATTTTCAACAAATATGTTTAAAATTTTGTTACACATTTTGTAATGCTTCATATTTTTCATAACTTTTTGAGGTTGTTGTTATCCTAGTCAAAATTGGTTTAAGATTTTGATTTTTTTAGTTTTTGTAATTTTAAAATTTTTGGGAATAGGGCTTTTTATTTACAAGCTTACGACTTTGCTATTATTATTTAGTTTGACTTTTAGTTGCACCGTGGGAGGAGCATGTCTGCTGCTTTAAAGTTTTTAAACTGTTGACTATAAATAAATATTGCCGGAAAAACCAATTTGCGGTCTCAGGTTTTGCCTTTTTATGTTTTATTATCTGAGCTCTGTGTGAAAATTATCGTTGACTCTAGATTTATTAATTTAAAAGTGAAATAACGTTTTAATAGATATTAGACAACCGAATCGAAATAATATGAGCTCCGCATACCAATGAAAAGTAAAATGTAGTTTTAAATTTTGTATTGAAATGAAAATAGGAATGGGTGACGTCATTTGGCGGTGTATCTATGACATATTCTGCATACATACAGACGACGTAATCTTTGATTATAAATATTTTCTAGAATACTTATTCTTTCAAATTTTAACAGTTTAGATGTAAATTTTTTAATGTTCAATAAATAAATTTATCGTGTACAAATAAAATAAAATCAAATTAAAATCAGAATAAAATTATTTGCAACATTGAAAACAATAAAAATAAAAAGAATCGAATTATAAATAAAATAAATAAATAAAATACATATGAAAAGTACTCACTTGATATTTTCTTTTAGATGTCCTATCGGTGAGTGCTGGCACCGATATTACCGTGTTTTTAATTTTTTCCCAAAAATTGCCCTAGGTCTTATATTCGAGGGAGGGCTTATATTATTATGCCAATTTTTTCGACATCATTTATTTTTCCCAAATACAATAATATTTTATTCAAATACAATAAGATCATCATCTTCTGGGATATCATCATTTCTTCCAGATCAAGACCTTGAATTCCAGCCTAGATTTCATTTGACTCCAGCTCCTTCAGTATCATAGGTCCCAATCTATCGTGTTTTGCGATGTAGCTCGCTTCAAATGGCGATGTTTTGTCCAAGTACCCTGCTTTCAGAGCCTTTGCAACACAGCTATCAGTGACTTTGCCCCATGCATTCCTTACCCAAGAGACTACCTCCTGCAGATTAGGCTTCACGAAGTTGTTATTTTTGTTCCTTGACATCCTATTCTCAATATAATCATTGATTTCAAGTCTGAGGTAATCCTTGAAAGGCTTGTTTATTGCAATGTCCAAGGTCTGGAGGTAAGCAGTCATCCCTGCTGGGATCATAACCTGATCAACCCTTCTTTCTGCCAAGAAGTTTTTCATATCCTTTGCACGATGAGTGCTTGCAGAGTCCCAAATGAGGAGACCTCGTTGACTTCCTCTTAAAACAAGTGGCAGCATAAGGTCCACCCATTTTCTTATTACATTCTGCGTACTCCATGCCTTTTCTGATTCCAAGACATAAACTCCTCCCTGGCATTCAATCTTTTCTTTCTTTCCTTTGGTAATAAGAAGTGGAGCAGCTTTCTTCCCATCCAGACGAATTGCCAAAATGCAGTTTACTCGTGCACTTTCATATCCAGTTGATGGTACATAAACTGACAGCTCTTGACAGCTTCTTTATTCTCAAGCTTGAACAGTGTTGTTGATCTTCGTAGTGAGAGTTCATACCGCTAAAGGAAGCGATCCAGCCAACATTTTGAAGCTTTGAACTCCTCAGGAGGGATGTCAAGTGTAGGAGCCATCTCGAGAGCAAAAGCTTGAATCTCAGCTCTGCGCACAACCATACGGTTTTCTCTCTTCTCAGCAATCCAGTCAAAGATGATGTCTTCTAACTCTGGAAAGAATGGACGATTTCCAGAGCCACATTTTCTTTTTTTTGCCTGCCCATCTTCAACCTTTTGATTGAGATCATCATACTGTGCTCGCCATTTCCTAACCATTCGTACGTCCAACTTCTTCTCTTTGCAAAATGCAGTAATATTTTGATCTCTGCATTCTTCCACAATTCCTTTTTTGTATTTGACAGAGTAACTTTTCCTCTTGCCACTCATCTTAAATATGGGCAAAATGTTACAAAATAGTTTATTTAAATAGAAAAAACAACCCTTACTTTGACAGCTTTGTAACCTCAGGATATGCTTGAAGGAGGAAAAACAAAATAAAATACTTATGTAGCGTCATAAGACACAACTAGAAGTTAATTTTTCAGACCAGGTATTATTTCGAACAATAGTAGAATTTCAGCTTTCACAAAAATGTTGTGGAAGTCATTATTGTCAGTTTGTCGATAATTGTTTAAAATTAACGCCATGTCAGAAACTTGCACTCAATTTATTTTTCCTGCCATTGAACCACATCTGTCATATCCTTGACCTCGCATCTTTTCAATATTAATCCCTGCTTCTTTCAATGTTTCAATCAAAATCTTAGCAATGCCTTCACCTGTGCTTTTTTAAACTTTTTGAAAACCAATAAAGCATTAATGAATACAGTTATCTTCAACAAATCTTAAAATAATTGTCACCTGTTCTTTAATAGAAAAATCAATAGTTCCATCACAGAGCACAGAAAAGAATCCAGCAGCATTGACGTTATTTACAACATTTTCCTCATTAAATAATGAATTGCTGCTATAATTTCATTTTGTATCTTCCAACTTAAATAGGTTTGTGAACTTGAAGTTGTTTGCAGATGCCATTTTAGATTTTTATCGCCAGCTAATAAACGTAGCCTTATGCATGCTCTGAAATTTCCATCGTTCTCATCTGGTTCTTCGGTAGAAAGTGGTCCTGAATCGCGATTTCTTTGCCTTCCACATTGATGCACTGTTTCTAGAATAGGTATTAACCGTGTGCGGTTTTTTTTCAATCTGCTTTTGCCACCCATTATGCAATTGCTTTTCAATACCACTAGATCTTTACTCATAATGTCTCAAAAAATCTTCTGAAATTTTTACACAGTTCTGATGATACGGCTGATATTTACGTTTGTGATCTTGGATAGGTTTTCAAAAGCTTCGGTGTAAATATTTTTTAATTTTGTATGTTTTTCAGCGTTATTTGCGTCTTGAAAATTATGAAAGATAAAAAAACAATAGTAACTATACTATACTTACCCAGCCTACCTAGAATATTTATCTTTATAATAAACGAAAGTACGTTTGTGATAGTTGCATAAAACCGTTGTTTTTAATAAATTCATATTACATATGTTGTAAACTAATTCTTGACCCTTGACTGAATCTTTTAATAATTTTTTTTATATTTCGGGGTGGGCAATTGCCCCAATGCCCCTCCTAGTTGCGCCTCTGAATGTAGATATATAAATGCGTAATACATTAAAACTAATATTTTATTTGGTAGAAGATATTTTAATCTGTTCATTATTCCCAGATTGAAATTAACTAAATTAAAATTTTCCATATTACAAATCTATTTTGTCATTGTTGTTTTGATCGTAATTAAATTTTATTCCAAAGTCTAAATTTTTTAATTTGTAGCAAAGTTCGATGTATTCAAAAACCTTGATATCGCAAATTGCACCAACGCCATCGATTACGCAGGAAAATTGTCACTGAGAGCAGACCCTGTCATTTTAGACCTTGCCAAAGTAAAAATGCCTATTATTTTAAATTCAAATTAAAGTCAAAATAAATTATGTCCCTTTTATTAATGTTTGTTCTTTTATTGGCTATTATTTTCAAAACCATTATTAATAGTTAACCTGAATGATGTTTGTAGACTATTTTCGTTATTCGCTAATCTCTGTTTAATAGTTTAATTTGTTCAATTTACAGTTACAGCAGTTTTTTTTATTATAGTAGTCCTTATTAATAATGCTTAATTATTCTATTTATGGAATATTTTTAATTCGATTAAATTTATTTTCAAATCATCAGCTTGAATCCAAATGAACTTTCTAAATAATCCTTTAAAATTTTGAATAAAATTGGTAATGTAATTGTGTAATGATTTCTATTGAACAGTTTTTATTACTGTTCACATTTTTTATGCGAATTTTATTTGGCACGCAACACTCAAATATTCAAATTCAAATATTTTTATTTTGTTAAATTATAATGAAATTTTCGTTTTATCTCAGAAAAGTAACGTTTTAAGATTTATGGAAATGTATTTGCAAACATTTCTGACTTAATTAATCGATGGACCAGCTCGCACAAACGACTTGCTTTAAGTTTATTTTACTTCGCTTAACTCGTTCATTATAATTAAGAATGAGCTTGAAATTTTGTTAAGAATCAACTCAATGTCTTTGAAGCTCTTTAAAAAACAGTTTTAATGGTGTATCCACATTCCACATTTATGATTATACTGTTTTTTATTTTTTATCATACCGTTTCCAAATAGACTTGAATTTAAAGATAAACATCATACACGATATTTTTAAATAAAAAATATCATATTCAATATTTAGGTCACCAAAGAACTTCCCGACAGCGAAAATGTCATGCTAATTAGTCTTGACGAGTTGCAATTTTTACAAAATATAGTGCGATGCATAGGCGTTAAAAAAACAATTGATATTGGTACGTTTACATATTTCAGGCTTTTTATTGAATATAATTTATATTTTCTACACATTAATATATATTAAATGCATTAGATATCAATCAATTAATCTTCGTTTTGCGTCCAGAGACCCGGTTTCCCGAGGTAGGACGT